ACGTAGATGTCCCAAAAGACTACATATAATATATATGTCCCGAGGGACCACTATGTCCCGAAGGACCTCGTAGACCCTCGACTCTTGGCATGTCAACTATACCTCTAGCTCTCAATACACATAACATGGGCATTTTCACTTATATCATTTCACATATACACTTTCATATCATATGTTCATATAAGCTCATAGCTTCTTTCACATATAGATGTAGACATATAACTTCTTTTCATGTAATTCATATAACTTTTCATATAATTCACATGTTCACATATCTCTTTTCATATTCTCATAAGATCACATAGCTCATATATACATCACATAGCACATACTTCTCATAGACATATAAAAACATAGATCCTCATCACATAACTTATATTACATGTTCATATAATCATTTATATCTATACCACATAGCTTATATCACTTTCTCTTGTCATTACTTAAGTCATTATCATTTACATAGTTTATGATCATATAACTTATATCACAGAGTCACATCATCACATAGAAAAGAACATAACAATACATATTCACATACTAACGGTTACCAACTATACTTATTTTCATGCATTCATAAAATAATAACATGGAAATAGACTCATCGCAAGTCTAATTTACATATAATCATATACTATAATCATATGCACTCACCTTAGCCTTGTTTGCTTTGAATCAATCCTAATCCTTCGATTGTTTCGGAATAAGCTTTCATTCTATATCTACATAGAAATACATTGATACTTATCAGTATACTAATTGAAATATTCTAAACTATCACTTCTTAAGCTAAAAGAAAGACTAATTTTATCTCGTAATGAAGGTATGTATCGATGCATTACACTATGTATCGATGCATCCATTGACGGGTGCATCGATGCACTATCTATGCATCGGTGCATAAATCTCATTCGATGTTTGTATTTTAAGCAGATGCATCAATGCACTCCTTATGCATCGATGCACTAATTGCATTCGATGTTCATTTATTTGAGAGTGCATCGATATACATTGAAGATGCATTGATGCACACAACCCAGAAATTCCATTTCAAGCACGAAATTCACTCTTTTTTCATCTCAACTCTTCATCTTTCCCCTCCTTTAATATTCCTAACTTTCATACACATATTTACACTCTTACTCAATAATCACTTATTTAACCTCCAAATCATATCATTTATATGGCATTCAAGAATCATACGTAAATATCAACATGTTCTAAATCTCATCCTAACACTTCCTATTCCTTATTTAGATTGATGACAAGTCAAATCCAACTTCCAATTCTCATTATTAACTCTATAACAAAATTTCATTCAAAAACTCACAATCTTTAATCTCTTCTAATTCCTTCATCTTTTGATTTTAAGATAACTTAAGCTTTCCTTGAGCTTAGTTATCATCTAATAATCATAAACCAATCTTAAATTTAACAAGAAACTAACTAACCAGAAACTCACCTTTGTTTTGGGTTCTCACGCATGAAGGAAGAAAAAGAGAAAGAGAACTCTAGAAGCTTGTAGATTTCTCTTCCCTTCCACGTGATTAATATATAACCTTTCTTTAATTTAATAATTTCCCTTACAAAAGACCCTTTTGCCCTTTACTTCATCAAATAATTACTTACCTCTTTCAGGTAATATTTCCAAATGAATCATTGAATTATTCCATTCTTATACTTTAGTCACCAAGTTCTAAAATTTTACAATTTAGTCACTAACCCATAGATTGGGATGTTACAATAAATTTCTCCCTGAAGAGTCGACTTTATTTGGTAATATTTAGAAGATGAGCTTTCTGCTTCTTTTCTTTTATCGTCTTTCAATTCTTTTTTGCTTTATGTGAGTTTTTAAAGATGAAAGTTTTTAATTTATCACTAATATCAACACCTGAATCTAAATTACATGTAACACAATTGAATTGAATAATTAAATTCTTAATTATTAATATCTCAATTTTAGATTTTCCATAATTACAATATTGCTCATATTTTTAATCAAATTTTCAGAAAGTCTAAAAGATTCATTAACAAGAGATATTTTAGTTTATTCATCAAATCTAGACTGTAAATGTAGTATCCCAAATTTTGGACTAGTGATTGAAAAGTAAATTTTGAAAGTTTAGAGATTAAAGTGTAAATTTGTAAAAGTTTAAGGATTAAAAGTGTAAATTTTCAAAAATTATATTTTGGGTCTGCAATTGAGTAGTTCAGCCAAAGAATATAATTTTAGTGAGTTTTAGAATTTTGATTTTAAGTTGGTATAAAAGTTTATTGAGCGATAAAGTTCGATAAAATATTCGGATAATTAGATCGAATCGAAAGTTTACATAAATTTGAAGGAAGTTTGAGGTTAGAAAAATTATATTGATATTTTTAATTAGTATAATTTGATGTGAATTAGTGGAATTTGAAGGAATTTTCTAGTGAAATTTAGTGACTAAATTGAATTTTTGGAAAATTGAAAGGGCGAAGATGGGAATTGATAAATGAGATTTTTATATTTATTTAATGATAGTAAAATGAAGATAAAAAGGATGACATGGTGGTAAAAATTAGGATTCATTAAAGGTAATTTTGACTTTTGGGCTAAAATAAATTTTAATTGATTTTTAAGATAAATTAAGAGATATTTGTATGAAAAAACTCAAGTAAACTCCTTCCATCTTCTCCATTATTTCGTGAATCCATAGCGAAGATCGTGATCGTAATCAAAGTCAAACCGAGCAAAGAGAGAAAAGCAAAGGATCAGAGCGATAGCAATATTGACACTAAGACTTACTAGTATGGTTTAAGGTGAGTGCGTTTAACTTGTTTTATATAATTATTCAATATTAAAAGGGAACTTTTAAAAAATGTACTTTGCAATTTTATTTTATATGGTTTTGTTTAAATGCTTTTAAGCATGAATTTTTCGACACACATATTGTTGTTATTTTTATTTTACTAGCATATATTAATGAACTTATATGATAAACGATACGCTATCATGATAAAAGCTTAATGTGTATGAATTGAGAGTTTGAGATACAAATGGCATGCCATAGGTGGTGTGATTATATGATACATAATTATATGGCACATATGGTGTAAATCAATGAGACACTTTCGAGTGCAATTATATTTACAGGGCACTGTTAATTGCACATAGCGCGCATACTCGATTAGACTCACGTACCTTATATTCTCGATTAAAATGCATTGGGCTATATTTTAAAAATAAAAATAAATACATGTTAATACGAGTCATTATGATTTAAATATAACAAGTTATATGAATTAGATACTTAATTTGCTTTTTATGTTTACATGTGAATTATTCTGAAATAGTTATATTATATGTATTCTAATATTTATTTTATTTATCCCTTATAGTTGATTTGTATACAATGATTTGTGCAGGATTTAGTATTATTTAATTCTTTTTATACCTCACTAAGTAAATACTTAGCGTGTAATTGGTTCACACGTAAGGAAAGAAAAAGAAAAGACTATTGGATAAGGAGCAGTTTGGTATTACCCAGGAAAATCATGCTACCATCTGAATCAGTAAGGACATCTATTACAATATTTTCTATATGTAGTGGCAAATATAATATAAATATTTTAACTACTCTAATATATGTTTTAAATAGGGTTTTGTAATATAAACGTTAATACTTTTAAAATATAGTAATATTAAATATGATAAATAATATTTGAAAAAAGTATCATTTTTGAACAATATATTCTTTATAGTATTGATGTGACATCTCTAGTTTGTATACATGAACATATTCGGAATAAAGTTGTTACAGTACAACGAGCTCTTTGGTTGTATAAGAAGTTGACCCGCCAATGCCTTCACTCTTATCTTAGTTAAATTAAACTTTATTGTAATTCAAGTAGGTGAATGTTATTTAGTGATTAATTTTATGGAACTAAAAATGATTATGGAGTAAGAATTTATTGGGACCAAGTTTATTTTTCCTATAAATATAAGTTGTGTTAATTTTTAAAATTATGAGAATTGTTTTTTAGAGATGTAATATTTTTTTATTTTTGTAAAATTTTTAGTTTATGTTATAGGTATTACTTTTTTTTATTGATGTTAGAAGAGAGTACTGATAGTTTCGGTATATATATTAAGTTATGGGATATACATGAATTCATGTATTTGTATTTTTTTTCCTAATCTCTGCATTTATAATGGATTTGCGTTATTTCATATACGAAGATAACTAATAATTTTTTTTTTGGAATAATTTCTATCATAGTCGGTTACTCAAATTTCATAGGTTTTTATCTTAGTTTTTGAGAAAAATTATAAATTAGATGTTAGGATTATAATATTTTCATTTTGGTCACCAGGGATTATTTTATTGTTGAAAAAAAAAACTATAAATTAGATATCAGTATTAGACTATAGTCATTTTGATCACCACGAGGGATTATTTGACTGACTGAACGAATGAGAGCAGCTTAGCAAGTTACTAATACAACAGCTGGATGATGGAATTATAGATTTTTACTTTAAATAAAATAATCATTCAATTAAATAATATTTTATTAATTATTTACCGCATCCAAGTTGTAGATGTTAGGGTTTAGATATGCCTAAGAAATTTAGGGTCAATGCTCTGGATTACTCTTGCATGTAGGAATGGATCGATGAGGTCTCGGCACGGTCAATTCCCTAAAAAAAGTTTGAAATCTAATATATTTTAGATTTTTTCTTTGTATTTGCTCCCAGCGTAAAATCATGTATTCATCCACATTTGTATGAATCATACTTGTAACATCCAAACACCTCTTGCTCGAATTTACAATATTTGCAATATCCGAATGTTTTAAAATAGGATTATATTATTATTATTATTATTATTATTATTATCATTTACCTTTGAAGAAAAATGAAAACATTCAAAGTTGTTTTTATTTGGTTAAGCGATCTCTGCATTTTATTCAATCTGATTTTAGAAAATGAAATATTGGACATTAATCAAGATTTATGTTCAAAATTGATGCAAACCGAAATTTGATAACCTCAATGTTATTAGACATCAAAGTTCAAGCTAAATGCTAAATCCTAGAAATAAACATTTTCTGTGAAAAAAGAAAAGATAAAGTGAGAACCACTATATAAACTGTAATGGCAGAAAAGGGGGGCTTTCAGTCTCATAGGACCTTTGTACAAGGCGAGAATCATACCTGTATATTTCCGAAACCGCCTTGTCATTTCTCCTCAAATTCGACATCGATAATTTCAGGCTCAGACTTTCTTGGACCGGGGCGCCCGCTATCTCCGCGAAATAAGTCTCCTTCTGGTTGCCATACAATGTTTCCGCAGCTTGTGCAGCGTATAATTTGACTTTTATAACCGACAAACTGTTTCTTACAAGATGGACAAGCACCCTGTTCGATTTTTATCATAGAAAAGGTCAGTTGGCCACATGAACTTCTGCGATAAAAAAGTATTTAAAATGAAGTCGTAACTAAATGCACCCCAGTTTGCTACTGCAACAAAATTTTGGTTCCCTTCTAAGATCATATACAGAAGTTGAATATTTAGCACAATTTTATGCGCCAAAAGCTCAAAATTCCGGTATTTGACGAGCTCACTAGCACAACACTAACATAACAAGAGGACAGGAAACCAAGTTTTATATAGTTTTACAGTTTCGACATTTTATTACTCCTCACAGCAAAAACCATGCTAAAAATAATAAATACATTTTTCGAAGGAAGATCTTCCTACATACTCAATATTGGAATGATGGTCACAAACAAAGACAAGAGATATTAAAAGAAAACAATGATTGTCACCGTTCTGCACCTAAATAACCACATTAAAACTATCTTAGCTGTAATAATATGAATAGTGAGTAAAACAAACGGAAGACTAGACTTTGGCTTTGACCCTATGGTTCCATACATGATAGATAAAAACTACCTAATGTCACCTTTTTTCACAGGAATGAAGCGCAGTGAAAATTAAACATATGTTATGAAGAATCACATGTTAAAGAAAGTCATCACTTCTGTCTGTGCCATGTAATAGCAATAAGTGACAGTTGATACCTTAATAACAAGATTATTGGTGATAGTCCCAATGAGAAGAGGCCCAGCAAATGGCAGTATCCAAATGGAAAATATTAAGAATCGAAACAGCCAACCAGATAATGCAAACCAAAGGAAGAAAATTATCTGCAAAGCAATGAAAAAGCTATTATTATCATGAGATGAGGTGGCAGACAAAGTATAAATAAAACACACAATGTATCTGGGTCCTAGCACTACTTAGTTGAAATTTCAAAAGAATTTCAATCTCGTTTTCTCCACTCTGAAGAAAAACACATTTAAAAGATTAAATTTATAGGAAAAGGATATTGAAGAATGAGAGTCATAAGCACCTTGCCTGTAACAGATTAATAATATGCGACCAAACTCGAATGCAAGGCTGCCTATAAAAACTTGCATTTGCATACAAATGAGATAACATGCGAAACCACATAAAGAATTAAAGATTTCCTTAAATTTAGGCCTAATAGAAAAATAAATATAATATCTATTTAACTTGTATTCCTAAACGAAGGGCAAAAGCAACAAACAACTTAGACATATTAACTACTCTACCAAAAGCCAACTTGCAATAGGCATAAAGCTAAACTTGTTAACATCGTTGGTTCATCCTCCTTACTTTTTAGCAAACAATGAAAATATGATACAGGATATTGCAAATTAAATCCCTTTAATTTATAAAGTATTTTGCACAGAAACAACACATGTTAACATCTCCCTTCTTTCACTATAGAATCATTGTTAAACCCAAAAAAAGGGGGATGGATGAACACAAGGTTTAGTTATCATAAATGATCTATCAAACTGTTTATTAAACTAATTTCTGGCTTTGCTATCTCGATTTCAAAAGCAAAAGACACATTTGGATGTAAAATGCAACGAACATTTTGAAAGATTAAAGATTCAAGAATACAACTTTCATGGAAATTAAAATCCATGACTTTACTTTCTAATTAAAGAATAATCTCTGAATTAATACTTGTAGCATAGAGCCATAGACAATTTCAAAATTTTCTTTTTATCAAATTAGTTCCTGATTTTGCGCTTAGATATTTCTTTTGCATTATGAGAATTTTAAAGCAAGTAAAATCAACAAACAAATGGAGCCTATAAATTTTACTAATGGAAGTAAGTAAATTGATACTTCGCCTAATCTTACTTACAGAAAAACTTCTTCCTAATGGAGTTTCCAAGAAATCATTCAGCTGCTTCCTGTACTGCAACCATATCCGCAAAAACAAAATGTTAGCATAAAAATTCCATATGAACGAACAAATTTCACTACTAGAATAAGAAATGAAAGAAACACGAACCCTAGGCCAATTTCTACTAAAATCCATAGTAAACGTCCGCCAACGGGTTCCAATCTCCAGCTCCCGGTCTAACTCACGAGCACGGTCAGTGGCGGATCGAACGACGGAGAAGACACGGCGGGAAACGGAGTACTGGCGATCTAACCGTTCGGCGGTCTTTCTAGCTTCGAAGACAAATTGCTCGAAGACATCGTTGGCCGTCCGCCAAGCGTTCTTCAAGGCCTCGCCGGACGCCACACTGCGAGCGAAGGCGTCAAAATCGCTCCGCCTGAAGGCTTGGACTACTAGCGGACGCCGCCGCTGAGGAAGCAGAGCCTGCCGCTGAAACTTCATTGAGTGCCATGCCGTCGACGGTAGAGTTGTAGACATAACTCAGAATCTCAGATGACGATTTTTTTCTGGCTTTCCAATTTTATATTTATTCTGATACAAATTTTATAATACTTATTATTCAAATTAATTTATTCAACAAAATATTTTAATGAAAATAAGTCATTCATAAATTAGATACTTTTTATTACTAATTTAGAATATATTTAGATATTCTATATTTAAGATTTCGGGTTATGAGTTCAATAAATATTAGAAGTATAAGCGTTTAATCTTTTTTTCTTTTGATTTTTAATTAGTCAAAGATGATACTAATTTTAATATTGTTTATCGACCGTCAATGATTATTATTATTTTTTTCATATTATGTTTATTGTTTTTTTTTCTCGAGTTTTTTCAATTTTAAATAATAACTCTATCATTGTGACACGTTTTTTCTCTACTTTCATAACACGTTCCTTATGATTTTTGATACATTTTTCGCATATATATGCAGTCGTGTTGGTGCTCACACAAAAATCCTCACGATATTTATTTTCTAAATGGTTTGTCGGTGGTCACATCTCATATTCCCTCTTCAATAAAAAGTTATTTATCGATATGATCAGAATTATGTAACGAAGTAGTCTACCAAATTGTATGGTTCGATCACCACTCTTTTATCACTACGTAAAGTGTCTTGTTCGAAAGAGACAATAAATTTTATGAAGGTTACTGAGTTCTTTTGATGTTGGACGTCATTCTCAATGTAAAGTTTTCGTTTTTCTTTGTATCTTTGGATTTAATAATTTTCTTTTATATATGAGTTTTTTTTGTGACTATTGTCTCATTTTTTCTCTCTATGTTTGAGTGCGTTGTAATTTTGATTCATTTAATTGATTTTATTAATGAAATCCAATTGTTATTATTAAAAAAAATACAAAATTAATATTAATATTAAAAAATCATAAACTTAATCAAATTAAAATAGGATAAACTATACATTTGGTACCTAAACTATTACTTTTGTTCTGTTTTGGTACTCAAACTTTATATTGTTTTAAAATCAACCTAACGTTCAGTTTAGGTTTCATTTTGATACACAACCGTTAAAAATTTAATGGTGATGTTGACGTGTAGTTTTTTAATGGTTTGAAACCTAACTAAATGTTAGGTATAATTTGAAAAAAATAAAGTTTAAGTATCAAAATGAAATAAAAGTAATAGTTTAAATGCTAAACGTGTAGTTTATCCATTAAAATAAGACGTGCAAGATAAGTAAATTATCCGGAAAAAATTAAAAATATAAATAAAAACAATATAACATACTGCCGCGGATCTTTGAACAATTTCCCTGTTTATCTCTCTCTCTGCCCTGAATTTTCTGAGTTCCTTTGCCTTATAAATTTTTAATTTTCTTTTTAAACAAACATGAGCGTCACCCAGTTCGCTATGGTAAGATTCTTCATCTCAAACTGTCTTAGCTTCTTAATAATTGTTTTTCAGAATTATGTATAAGTAGTTGAAGCGGTTTTTTTTCCTCTTAATTTGAACCCAAATTCATTTGAAGCAGTTGATTATCACCCGTTTTTGCTTTCTGGGTAATTATCATTTGCCAATAATTTTTTATTTCCGGTGTTCAAAACTGAAATTTTGTCCATGTATTCGTTGTTTGAAGTTAATTATTTACTGAATAACTGAACAAGTAAAATTACATTTTTTCTATCTCAGAACTTCATTTTTGTTTTTCATCGAATTATATCTAAATGATTTAGGCTTGAAGTACTGGATAATCGCCCATTTTTGTTTTCTGGGTAATTATCATTTACTACATATTATTGATTTTAGTGTTCAAAACTGAGAATTCTGTTTATGTACTTATTGTTTGAAGTCAATTATTTTCTGAATAATTGAATGGGTAAAATGCTAACTATTGCTTCCTCAAAAGTTATTTTTTTATATTGAATTATGTCCAAAATCTAAATAGTTAAGGCTTTAAGCACTTGATAATCATCCAATTTTGCTTTGTGTGTAATTGTCATTTATCCTTCATTATTGATTTTTAGTGCTCGAAAACTGAAAAATTCTGCTGCTCTTACTGAGTAATTGAATGAATAAAATAGTAGATTTTGCTATCTCAAAAATGAATTCTTGAAGTTGCATAGAAATTATACATATTATTTACTCTTTTTGGTTGAGACGGGGGTGTGATGGGGTTTCCTGAAAGTAGATTTTTGCTGGACTAATATGACTAAGATGCAGGTGGAGGAATTGGCATTCCTTGTTAAGGACAATCTTCCTTGCAAACATCTAGTGCTGTCAATGGAGGAGGCTTTCATTAATTTCCTTCAAGATGATGCAAGGTAACTAAAGAACCCCACATCCCCACGCAAAATATTCTTAGGAAGTTCTTTTTATGTACACACATCTGATTCGATTATGATCATTATGAACAACAAAAATGTTGGATTGCAGCTCAGGTGGGATCCTAGAGTTGGAACCTATGAATTCATACAATCGGCTTCTCCTGCATCGTCTTGCAGATATATTTGGGTACTTTTCTTTTTGACTTTCTTTCTTAATGTATCCTCATTTGAATTGACTTTGGAGTGGTAGAGTTTTCTTAATTAGCTTTTAATACTGACATTTTCCAAAATTGGCTAGATTTGCTCATGAATCAATTGGAGACGGAGAAGATAGGCATTTGGTTTTGCATCGATGCCCAGAGACATCAATGTATGTAATTTGTTTCCTTATTGTTCGTTTTTGGTCATTTAGATATTGCGATGCTCATGACCCGGCAAAATCTTGTCTTGTAGACCTTCCATTCTTGTTAGTGATATATTATGGCAGTGTGATGAGCCTCAGTCTCTTACAGCGTCTTGCCACATATTAACTAGAGAAGGAACTGCACCAGGTAATGTTCTTCCTGTTCACTTGTTTGATGCACTTTTAGGCTATTGGTTCATGATTCATGATCCCCAGGAAGAACCGATTTGCAGTTTTTAAGAAATAAGAATAACATGTGTAGCTGAGAGTATCTTTTTATTTCCTGTACATTTTTTTCCATGGTTACTTATAGCGGATTAGAAAGCATGCCATGCGAGTTGTTATGGATCTTTTTCTATTGGAACCATATCGAACAAGGATAGGGAAAACTGAGGGTCACAGGATGAGAGAAAGAACCAAGTTCCAAAACAAGGGAGCAAATGCTTCTTTCCTTTCTTGCAATATGCATACCAATATTTTTTTTGCCATTATGTACATTTGCTGTAATTGTGTGCTCCAAAGGTAAAAGGGGTAGATTTTGAAGGGCATATCTACCAAAACAAATGTAGTTACCTCTATAAAATATCAGTTATTTCTTTGTCTCTTTTGTTTACAAAATCTGTTATCTTTGGGTTATGTCCTACGGATGGAAGGCACTATTTATTTATCCATTTTATTTACTCATTTGCTAGTTATTATGTTTTCCCTGTTCTCTTCTTTCTTTATTAGGAAGATAGTTCAGCATGTTATATTGAAACACTGAAAAGAAAGAAAGCATTTATTGTTTTCTCTTCAATTGCACGCTGTAGAATACTTTTCCTAGCAGCTCATAGTAAAGAATCTGTACTTTTTTGACTAGATTCCTTTAGCCGGGTTGCAAGGAGTCTCTATTTTGGTTTTTCTTTCTCAAGGGAAGCATTTCACATTAGATTCTTTTATGTTAAACCATTTCATATTGGTTTTCAGATGGATGCTTGACAATATTACTTGAGGCAGGCTGTATTTTCTCAATATTGTTTACTGTTTCAATACGTTAAAATCCTTTTTTTTTACTATTCCTCTACAAACTGTCTAGTTATCTTTTCCTTTAATGGACGACCATTTATAGTTTGACTAGTATGTTTATAGGATATTAATATTGATGGTTATGTTTGATTGTGTTGGCTGGTTTTTAAGTTGTCTTTATCATGTAATCATTACAATCGTAATCTCTTTCTCTAGAAATTACAGTAAGATGCTTTACTTCTAGCTTGTTTTTCTTTCGTTTTTTTCTTTTTATTTATTTTTCTTGAAATTTTATCTGCATATGTTGATTTTCTCTATGTTGATTATCTAATAACATGGACGTGTTGATTACCTGGACGATAAGCCCTGAAAGATTGCTTTTTCATTTTTCAGTAATGCAGACAAAGTTGCCTTCTTTTGAGCTTAGTCTTGAGGCAAGAGAAGCAGCTTACTTGGCTGCTCGTGAACGGATATTCGCAATGGATATTGGAGAGATTCAAGAACCTGTTAAGCATAAGCCTCGAACATTTCCTATTGTGGCTCGTCGAATGATCGCACATGCTTTGGGACAAAGAATTAACTCATGCAATCAAAACGATAAAGCTCGGGATTCTAAAGATCAAGTGCAAACTAATAAACCAAGTATTCAGGATATGGATAAAGCTGATAATGATTTGAGAACAGAAACTTGTCAAGATACTCTTCTTGAACAAGGGGAAAATGAGGATGCATGCAGTAAAGCAAATAGCAACGCAAATGAACATAGTACTTTGGTGGTTTGTGAGAAAAATGTTTTGGTTGAACCAACTCAAAAAAGACCTACTGATACTAGCATACCAGGTAGAACCCGAAGTAGAGTTAACAAAGAGTTTTCAAAAGAACATCTAGGAGCTGCAAAGCGAATGTTTGCCAATGCTTTAGGTCTGCACTCGGCTAAGGATTCAAGAGGTGGTGAAAGGAAGACAATACAGTAGACAAGGAGCTACTTCTAACCCACTACCGGTTTGACGTTATAGCTCCATGGACTGTTACTACTGTCGGAAAAGGACAAATGGTAAAGTGAGTTTAGCTCGACTGCTGCTTGCTTGAATGTTCCGTATTTGCATTTGACGGCATTGCCATCTTCTATGTTACGTAAACTGGTTTGCATCTGACTTGAGTTATGAGCTCTGGTTTGCGTTGAACAGAAGACACATCTGAGCTGTGTAGTCATGTTTGCAGATGCAGAAGGGTCCAACTCTTTTCCGTAAGATGTCTGAACCTGTAGTAGGTTATGATTCTTACTTGAGAGATACTTGTCAGTTAGTGGTGTGTTTCGATGTGTCGCATTAACAGTGTGTTTCAATGTGTCGCATTAGCAGTGTGTTTCGGTAGGTGATGTGAAATTTTCCACAGGAAACAGTGCTATAGACGTAATGATTTGTACTATGGAGTAGACAGGACAATTCGGAGCTCGTGTTTTAGATATCTTCATGTTAAGAATCATTGTGTTTTATATCATGTTATTGAACCCCATAATTTGGAAACGACTGATCTTATCAATTAATTATTCTTTTTCATTCATACATATTTCTTGTTTTCTATATTTATCTATAGTGGTGACATTTTTACAAACTAAACATTACAAAAATAAGAACTAATTGCGAAAGTGATTAACCCTCTTGCATTCTCCTAGTTCATGACGTACACTATATTACAACACAAACCCTGGCACCGTGTACTCATGTTTACAATGAGCATCGAGTTCCATCACAAAATCAGCATAAAACAACATATGTGCCTGCTTCATAAATCAATTTCACTGCAAAAATGATGTCGTCCGGCAGCGTCCACAGTAAGGGCAGTTGCCCGGAAGAGGCATGGAATATAAAGAACTAAAGACGTAGGGTCCATCCGTAGAACACGCCTTCTTTGTACAAAAATGATTGAAGGACAGGAAAAAGAATTATAGAAGCTGAAATCTGAAGGGTAAACTGTTGAATGCTGCAGCTTCCTAAGGGTGATTGCATGAAACCGATTGGAATTAACTGAAACACCCCTTTCACTTTAACAAGAAAATGTCCGAAAAGAATTGGATATACTCAGCAATATCATGTTTGCCTTTCTGTTCCCGGAGGAGTCTTAGCAGTCAAATCGCGAAGCAATGTCTGGGAGGCTATGAACTCCTCTCTCAGCATGACATTGTAGTCGTACAAACGTTGGAAATTCTTCTGTATATCAGACAACTCGATCTCTGAACCGGACTTCAGTTCTGCATTAAGAAGGATTAAGATGAGCAATTTTAACATAAAATATGTCGGTAAATAGAATCACCATAGAACATTTCGAAGAAATTAATGCATGCGGTTTCAGTTCATCAGATCGAAGAGTCTATGTTTAGTAGGTTGTTCCAAAACCGGCCTGCAGGTCATTTCCAAACCGACTTTTTAGTTTTATTTGAAGTACTCACCTACGATGCATATCAAAGTACAGTTCGGGGATATGACGTATCAAATACATGAAAATGTCTGAAAAATTTGAACATATTCAAATTCAACACCCATACCTATATCTGAGTAATATATGATATAAAAAGAGCAATAATAATTGAGTCAACACTCGACACCGGTAGTTAAACATATAATAAGAAATCATCTCGACCCTAACTTTTTTCTTTCGCATAACCGACAAGTATGAGTCTATGCATGACTTGCAAATGAAACACATTTAATTGCTATTCTTATCACCAAGAAACGTTCTAACGCTTGCTAACTAAACTGAAACTATGGTTTAGAAGATATGAATACAAAGGAAAGCAGTTAACTCCAATTGTGTCTTTTAGTGCAACATGTGATGATAATTCAAATAGCCCTGCTCGTACCTAGTCGCGGTGGTGGGGGAATGATATCTCCACCAACAGGGAATGCTTGATGCTGGACAGCAACTCCATCATTTGAACCAATGCAATGTTTTATCCTGTCCTTAGCAGATCCAGATATATCTCATTTGAGGGCCTGCATATAACATATATGAAAAGCTTCAGGCTAGAAACCTATGAGGACAAGCTATGCTTCGTTCGGGTCCAAAAGTTACTGATAGAGTTACTAATGGTATGTGCATAAACTGATACACAGCTAAAACTTACCATCGCTTTGATACGAATGTTTCTCCGAAAGAAAATGATTGAAAAAATGAAAATGGAGGAATACTATATCCGCCTCTTTCATCATTGTAACATCTAAGGTGATTACACGGAATAACCACCAAGCCAAACAAATTTTTTTCTGTGATAATAGAAGCCGACATAAATCCGGTGCTTAACTACATGTGAATCACAGAGGATACATGTGAGACGCTAAAGGCTTAAAAGTTAAAACCACATGGCAATGCTTCCAACATAGACGACTAAGAAATTTGTTCGTTCTTTCATGTTATACATGTACTATTCATACATTGGTTCAAACAATCGATTTAACTATTACAAATAATAATAAGTTTAGGTAAAACTGAACAACTTGGCAATTAAAACAGAGATATTACTAATTATAGGCAACTTGTGTTTAACTTAACCTTCTTTAAGTGAGTCAAGTATAGAAATTTGGGTTAAAAAGCAAGTGTATTCTTTAACAAGAGAAGGTGATATTAGGTTGACATTGGGAAAAAAAAAGATAGAATCTACCTTTTCACTGCTGACTTGCTTGCGAAAACTTAGGTCAATACTACTTAACTGCCTTCGCTTCCTCAATGACCCACCTCCACGAACTGATCCATTACCATGGACCGACGGAAGCATGAAATGACCACAACCGGTTCCGTTTTAGAGTGGTCGTCAACATCCAATGTTCTGCAATTCCACGTGTACATGATGTAGTTTCTCACCTGGTTAAGAAAAGCACATCAACACAACTCAACTATACTAAAAGCCTAAATTAGAGAGAAATACTCGAATCTACTAACAAACATAGGCTATATGTTGTTCAGAGAAAGAAATTACTTTATCCCAGTGTTCTTGAGCTTTTCTTCTACTTCTGATATTCCGTAAAATGCTATCTTCATTGCGGAGCCATTTTATTCTGAACTCACACTACAAAGTGCAAACCAAGCAGATCATATAGGAATGTTGAACACATTATACATGGGATTCATTTTCTTTTCTCAACCTAAACATTGTTTTACCATTGGCAGAACTGTAACAAAACAAATATTCATGCACTTTCAATTATCTAAAACAGACAAGCTCTAGAATTTCAAAACATAATCGAGATCCATTTTCAATGTGTAAAACCCGTTTAGAAATAGAGAAGGGAACTTAGAAAAATCACTTAAGAAAGAATTAACTGTCATTTTTATTTCGTCATGATGTTCAAATACTGAATATAAACGTCTTTCTCTTCATCCGAAAGAAGAGTAAAAGTAAACCTTAACGACATCAGTTATTGATAGTGTAAGGTCCTCGATCACCATCTTGAATCTTTATAATATATCTAGAAAATCAAGGGAGAAAGGAAGAACTAAATGATAAACTCAGAAGGAAGACGACTTACTTGCACCAAGAGATAAAAAAATAGCATCATACTAATGCAATATAGCCCACCAAGATCTGCAAGGAAGCAGACTGCAAGTTGAACAAAACAATATTGCATTAATATATACAAGTAGAAACTTGTTGCAATGAATCCTGCAGAATAATGCAATCAAAGGTTGTTCTCCAAATAAAGAGGAATTAGAAAAGCAATGGCAAAGCATGTGAAAGCCATTAGAAGCCAACTTAATCAAAGAACACCATTGTCCTGATAGTGACCATCAAGAACTCTTCCATGTAAACCAAGTTGGTAAAGTGATTAACGAAATAATGTAGATATCTCAGACTGTCACCTTAAATAGTTTACAACGCACAAAATATCAAATGTAAAGTTTTCTGCGCATGGTGAAAAATCATAACATAGAATATGAGGACAATAACCAACATAGCACGGTAGCAGCTAATAAAAAAATATCGGACCGAATCACATACACACAAACAAAGCAAATTACTCACCAGCACCAACTATATTTTTATTTTCAGACTCAATGATGTAGGAATTAAGATAATTGACATATACTGTAGTGTTGATTAGTCCATCACTAGCATTCTCGAGTTCTCGACTATGTTTAGAATTGAAGGTTTTATGATATACTACTAACGTGTAATGCATCTTTATTTTTTGCGTTCTGTTCCAGGTTGACATGAGAGCTAGGATCCGTGGAAACAAGGGCTATTAAGTGTATGGAAAACTCAAATTTTCCTCATGTTGTCTCTCCCTGAATTTTGTTTGATCATGAAAAAAAGTTGTTCGATGATTTTCCCATTTCCCCCTCTTTTTCTAGTTTAGATACAATGAAGTACATTCCTAACCATGTCGGTATTCTAAGCCGGATTCGGATTAGTGTTTGGATATATGCATGTTTCAATGTGCCCATGCTTAATTGATTCCGAGTGTTTATTGTATATATAGAGGATTGTGTTTTCATATTTATGTTTGAACATGTTGGACATAAATTTGAACATGAATATTTTCAAAAAAATTGAAGAGCTTGGATAATATAGCTTGGGTTCTCTTTCTATCATGGTCAATTACATCATAGAAAGGTAGTGAGGATGCCTTTTCATTGCAGGCTGAATGAAGATGGCCAAAGTTGGATATAGTAGAATATGAATTTTTGTTTATTACATTTGATATTCAAATTCTTTTATTATATTTTTTTATTTGAATATTACGGCATTATTATCATCTTTTCAAAAGACATGTATGATAGTCCATTGAGCGTTACCGTGCTAAAAAAATAAAATAAAAAATTTATATGAATTGGTTTATCTTAATTCGTATTGGCATAAGAAAATCTTAATTTAAACATTATTTTATTTAAAATTGAAATAAATTCGGATGATAAATATTTAAGGGTAGATAGAATTTGTAAATTATCTAACAAAAATGAATTGAATGATTTTTCCGGCTCAACCAGTTTGTAAAAGATTATGGTTAACATATAATATTAGTATGACGTTAAAAGTTTTGGTTGTCAGACGTCAATAAAATAGTTTCAATTTTAAATGACAGCGTTCCTTGTCATGGAATTATTTGAATATAAATATTTTATTGATACTGAAGTTATCATCCGTTGATACTAATAGTATTTGAGGAGAAAATTATATTTCATTGAACTTCGTAAAGTTGATGTGTTCAACAAAATTGGATTTGAATTACAATACGACCATGCTTAATTTATTTTAAGTGTATTATATACTTAGATGACTTTAGCTCAAGTACAACTTTTGAACATGGTTATCGAACATTAATAATTTCTTTCAACACATTTGTGATGCTTTCCCATTGCTGTTTGAATTAAGGAAGACCAAAATTGGATGTCACCCAATAATGAATTCTTGTTTTTGTAACGGCCGTTAAGTGCCCCCAACTCCCTCTCTCCGTACCCCTCTCCCTCTCCCTCTCCCTCCCGACCCCCCTCCCCTCTCTCTACGCAGTGACCGACGTAGGTATAGATATTAGAAATAAACCTTATAAAAATGATGTTTTTAGGGTAAAAAGCCTTGGTTCTAAGAACAAAATAAATAAATAAACAAACGGATTGAATTGAACCTCACGGAGAAAAAAAGTACTAAACCCGCTATGATCAAACTGGATACACCTTTGCTAATGTTTGTTTTTATGTTCATTTACAAGCTATATAGTCTGCAAATTCCCAAACAATATCAATTTAATAAGTCAGAAATTTTCTTATTTTCCCACTTTTTGGTCAAACTGGAGAGGGGGGCGCTATGATCAATACTCAATGGCTTCAGGATATCACATGAAGCTTGAAATTTTATGCATGACCAAAACAACGTCTTATCGAAAGTAATCCTGTATGCACTTGGGTCGAATCTGATTTGTCTTTAGATTTCTCCTTCGAGTTCTTGACGGGGAAATGTTTATAGAAGGCCTTTACTGCACCTGCAACTCCATCTTCAACTTCCATGGCTTTTGCTAAATCAACAGCACGCTTTTTCACCTGCATCATTCCATTTCCTTTCAAACATGCAGGGAAAAATCGGAATGCTAAGCTCTAAACCGCTAGCGTCCGATGTCATACTTAAGCAAACTTGTTCATGCTTCCCCCCTGTTAACCCTCAACTTATGTTACCCAAATACAAGTAATAAAGCAACCAAACCATCACACCAGGATTAAACCTTCTAGAACCTTAAATAGAAGACGGAAACAACTATTCTTTTGCAGTAATTTCATGATATATTAATATGACTCGGTTACTGGTAGAGGAAATTCATCGTACCTCAGGATCCATCATAAACTTTATGGCAGCAACTAGCTTGTCAAGTGAAAACTCCTCAACCGGGATTGGTGCAGGACCGACTCCTTTGGCATGCACTCGCTCTCCCCAGAAAGGTTGGTCCCCAAAGAAGGGGACAATAGTTGTTGGACACTGTATTCAAGATTAAAAATGAATTTTCAAAAGTGGAAGAAAATAACCAAATGGATATACTCTTGGAGATGCCAGGTTACCGCGGCTTTAAGACCAGCAGCGGTAGTTCCAGCTCCACCATGATGAACCTGGTGAAAACATGCAAGGAATCAATCAAAACGTTTTGAGACAACCATAAGGTATTTCAAATACTTATCTAGAAACAAGAAAGGAAGCCAAAACTTGAAATTCTTTTAGGCCCTAAAACCAACTATGGTTTTTTTTTTAAAAAAAGGAGACACTTCAATAGTTCATTGTTTGGTACATCGAAGAGGGAGAAAGGTGAGAACCTTTGACTTAAATCCTCCTAATGTAACAACTGCCAGACCAATCTTAAATTAAAAGGCATGACAATGATGCATCTAACTAGTAATGAAGAAATATGTAATAAACATGAATGGTGGCCTCTCTCCTTATAAAATGCTTCAAATGCAACTACTACCATACATATTGAAGACGATGACAACTTTATGCAATCCCTCCAAAGCCTTAGCACACCACTCGTTTACAGGTCCTAAAATGGACCAATTTTTGTGTGACATAATACACACTACACCCTACATATAAAATGTAGCTCATCGCTCATGATATCAAGGATCTTGCATGTGGTATCGTGAATAAAATATAACAGCAAATGATTTCAACTGCCCAGGGAGCTCAAAGTTTTATGTTACAACTTACCACAGCCGAACATTGTAAGAATAGCCAGTCATGGGGGCAGTTGTCCAGTAAATACACAAAGTCAGGCGGTTCTGCCACTGGAGAAAAGATAACTAAGCATTATCCACTCCCATGTACTGAACATGATTGGACATGTAACTAATGAAATATGAGAAAATAACAAGTGTAATTACAATTGCCAAGACCACCCCAGCCTCTGTTTATAATGCCTCTTTGTCCAGTTTTCTCCAGAGCTTGTACTAATATCTGGGTCATCCTTTCTGGTTCCCGAAGAGGCTGTTAGAAGAAAAAAACAGTTAGAACCATTTAAGCCCAGATCAACTAAACATGATAAAGAAATAGAATAAGTGGTTTAATGAAGCCAATATAATCTTATTTTATAGTCAAATAAGATAAAGAGGGTCAAATGAACTAAGTTTGACAAGTAAATTAAATATTATATAAATGATCCCAAAAATAAAAATAATCAATTAAACTATAAGGAAATGATACAGAGAAAAGCACAAATACTCGTGAAAATTACTTGTAAATTCAAGTTCTTAAACACACTTTCAGATACAATAAAATAAATTGAATATCAAAATTGCTCAAGACGAACAAACTTTCATAAACTCTCATTTACTAAATATCAAAAGACGAAAGACTTGTAGAAGAACACTCACAAGACTACCGAACCCAATATAGATAGGCTTATCACCATCTCTGAGCCATTTAACAAGCGACTCTGGCGGTTCATAACTGGATGCAAGGTCAAGGAAACAAAAGCCAACTACGTCAATCTTTGGTCCCCAGTCTGCAGGAGAAACTAAACCACGTCAAATATGCTTCCTTCAAATGGCAACACCAAGACCAACATACATGACTTTTTATTCTTTGCACATTCGTTGTTGTCAAAATGTAGAAATGAAAAGAACATTTTAAAATTGGACCAGGATATCAAGACTTTTATTAGTACAATAAAATGACCGATATCAGGGTTTCCCAAAACTGACAATTAGGCATTTTAAGGGACCGAAAGAAGCAGATATATCGGGGCAGTCAACAGCCCTGATAGGTGCTAATCCGATTGCCGCATTTTACAGATACCTCACTCAAACAAAAAGCCAATCAATGTTTAACTAAAATTTACACTTTTCATTTGTATAGTGGAATTATTACCAAACAGTAGGGGGAAGCTTAGAAATAAACCAGACAGGAATATTAAAAATTGCAAGAGTGTCGAGACATGTAACTCGATAAAACAACTCCGATATGCAAAACTGCCATAAGTGTTACTGGTTGCTCATCTTGAATCATCTCTCCCAATCACCAATCCAACAAAGTAATTGCCAAAATGAATGAAGCGTTACTGAGGGGTACATAAATAAAATGACCTTTCGGTTTGGGAACAAGGTGAGGACTCCATATATACCCATAAGGCACATCTGGAGGAGAGCTAATGGATCCTCTTAAATATGTGACAGGCCTCAGCATCAGTTTTTTCTTCCTGAGCTCATTTATCATGTCCCGTATTCCCAGCCATATTAGGGCATCAACGATATGGTATGAAAGCTGCAGTCGAAATTACCAATATATGAATAGATCTAAATATAAATAAGATTAAGGACTGAAGAAGCAAAAACCAGACTCACCCTGTAACCAACTTGTTGTTTAACACGAGATAAAGGATGGGGAAATTCACTAGTAGGCCTGACAGAAAGGTGACAAATATCATTGACTCGGTATTATTCTCAATATCTAAACTAACACATACAAGAATATGTAGATTATAGATGCTGTTCATATTTGTTAGTTAGTCAATAATTTAGAATCTTAGTCTTATCTGCCTATAGGATAAGATGCTACCTTATCTCTAAATTAATTTTTTAAAAGAATTTTACTTTGCTTGGGATTGTGGCTCTAGAGTTCGATAAATTAGAAAGAATTCTTCTTTTGTATTCAAGTGAAATAAAATCAGAGAAAACTTTTCTCTAAAACTCACAGAATATACATCAGTCCAGGAAATGATTGAATTGCCACAAAAAGATAACACCAAAGCTGATATCTTCTTTAAAAAAATGATGCCAGAATCGATGGTGGATGCACAATCCAAAACATAATTATTTAGAGTAATTTCTAACATCAAAATAATCACTTCCAACCAAGACTTACGTCCACGGCATAGTGAAGAATATATGAAGGGGTACTTGTAGCGCCTCTGCAACATGTGTGTGTCCTGAAAAAGCATTTTTCCCATTAGATGCATGAGAGAGTAAAAGAGCAGAAGTCAATATGTTTCATGATCAGAAAAACATTTAAATAGAGGACATTGGATATTTAGAGAAAAAAATAGAGAGCTATTCAGGTTAAATATTGCAGAACATGCAATGTGAAAGAGATGAAGGAAGACCTTTTCCAATTAAAATGCTCAATTGGTATCAGACAAAAACATAAAGCTTAAAAATGAAAAAGAGGTAATAAGACCGAACCATATGCTGGAGGATTGGCAATTATTGCATCTACATCAAATTTCACATTACTCTCAGGATCATTGGCCCGGCATGCATCAAGAAGCGAGAATATTATTTCCTTCATTTGTTGCCTCTGAACAGGAATTTCTGAAGGATCTGATGGCAAGAATCCTTTATTTTTTACCATATCTGCAGAAAACTCGGTGATCAGTACAATAATTTCAGAAGGTAATGGAGACAACCTGATTGATATGTCTGAAACTGGACAAAGACAATGTCTTAGACAATCTCTTTTTAGCGATTGAGAGTAATCTTCAGAAACTACTAGAAGAATGAAAGAAAGTAGATAGAATATCACCAAATGCTTTATACAGAACACCTTTATACAAAATCTCAAAATTTGGAGCATATGAATGATCCACAAAAATAGCATCTAGAGGGTGTAAATCGAATCCCAAGATACTTAAAGATGACATTCGATTTACACCAGGTCATAGTTTACTCTTTAAAATGAGTAAAAACCGTGAGATAGAAGTATGTATTGATGCAAGTTAGGTTGGAGAGTTAATTGAAATAAGACCAAACATTGCATTTTCAGTGAGTATTATCAGCCCGCAAATGAACGATCCACAAAAAGAGCATCTAAAGGCTGTAAATCGAATCCTAGGATACTTATAGATGACACCAGGTCATTGTTTACTCTTTAAAATGAGTAAAAACCGTGAGATGGAAGTATATATTGATGCAAGTTAGATTGGAGAGTTAATTGAAATAAGATCTACAAGTGGTTATTATCCCATTGTTTGGGGTAATCTTGTTACATGGAGAAGTAAAAAGCAGTCTGTGGTTTCAAGAAGCACTGCAGCAAAGGCTGAATTTCTAGCTCTTGCCTTAGGGATTTGTGAAGGAATATAGATTCAGAGACTCTTAAAAGAATTAAAGCTTGATTCTAAAGATTACTTCAAGGTGTAAAGTGACAATAGACAGCCATAAGCATTGCCAAAAATCATGTTCACCATATCAGAACAAAACATGTGTAGATTGATAGACTTTATTTCAGAGAAAGTCAAGAATAGGACTGTTAAACTGAGCTAAATTCCTACTCAAATGTAGCTTGCGGACATTCTTACTAAAGCCCTTCCACGAGCTAACTTCAATGGATTCAAGTTCAAGTTGTGTTTATATAACATATACACCCCGGCTTGAGTGGGAATGTAGAAAGTTGCCAACAATTAAGAATTTTATTCCACTTAGAAGTTTAATTTATTTTAGAAGATAAAGTTCAATTTATTTATAATTTATCTTTATCGTACTATTCAGATTAAGTTTCTTACGAGATAAAATAAGGTTTAGGAGATAAAAAATAGGGATAAAAGAAACCTAGTAGAACTCTAACTTGTTATCCGTAGCCGCCTATATATACAGGCCATGTTTTATATTTTTCAATGAGAATTTAGATTGGAAAATTTCTTTTTCTTCTCTCAATCTTTTCCGTTTTTATCCTTTGGCAGATATTTTCTCTCACAAAGATCTTTCAATTGCTCATAAAATCTTTCCAGATTCTCTTTAAAATTGTGTTTTATAATATTTTAAGCTTTTTGGTACTTAATGATAAAGCTTGTCCACAATAAATAAAATCAAGGGCGAAAACGAATATACTTCAAACAGCTCCCTCCCTTGCCCATATATATTCCCAGAGCAACTATATGAAGTTATGATAAAGGATATTACCCTCAATAATAAATACGGATTTAGTTTAGAAATATTATTATTAAGATAAAATCTTGACACTCACAGCCAGCAAGAACTTTTGGATCTCCCCCTAAAGGGAAGAACTCTAACCCAGCATTCAAAACAAAATCTTTAAAATTTGAGTGTGTTGCCAATCTAACCCTATGGCCATCTGCCTGCAAGCAAAATTTGAACTCCATCAGCTCAAAAACAAAATTGAGGCCTTTCTTGAAAGAAAATCTAGTCAAAAGAGAGGTAAATTAAACAATTACACAACCATCATAATCATTATATAAGAATTAAAATCCTACAGCAATAATTTCTTTGCAACATGCACGGTAAAAGATTTTTTCATAAAATGAATAAATTTAACAGTTATTGACATATTCTTTGTTTATCAACTTCACTTCCTTGAATCTTACTAAAATCATGGAAGAGTAAGTTGGATTGCCCTTTTCTGTATAGAGACAATGTTAGCAAATTCAGGGTTGGGTTAAAAGATGCCATGTCTAAGGGGAAAAAACAACCATAAATTATGAAAATGAGGTTACTATGTTTAAAAATTGAATTAGAACAGAGAAATTCTTTTTCTATTTTAGTCAGCCTAGTGTTTCTAGTGGCATCCCCTTGGGCAGTTTTCTATTTTTTTTTCCCATCTTCCTCTCCTCACTCAACCAGCCCAAATGCTACACCGGTTAAGAAATTTTATGCAATTGCCTTTATCACGTAGCTGCTGCCTCTCTAGCATTACAGTCCGAAGAAGATTAATCCGGAGACCGTGGAGGACTTTAGACTTATCAGCCTCGTAGGTAGTCTTTACAAGATCCTCTCTAAAGTTTTATCTAAGAGATTGAGTTGTTGTATTGGGGATATAATCAGTCAGTCCCAGTTTGCTTTTGTACCGGGGAGACAACTGTTGGATTGTGCTTTTATTGCGAATGAAGGAATCGACTATAGGAGAAAACAAGGGTTGCAAGGGGTTGTTTTAAAGGTTGATTTTCGTAGAGCTTACGATTCTGTGGAATGGCCAATTTTATTTAGAGCAATGGAAGAGATGGGTTTTGGGAATAGATGGTCCTCGTGGATTTCTCAGTGCCTTTCAACAGCTTCCATCTCGATACTCATTAATGGGTCTCCTTCGGAAGAGTTTCCTATGGCCAAAGGTCTTAGACAAGGGTGTAGTCTCTCTCCTCTCCTATTTAACATCGTAGGTGAGATGCTCCATTTGATGATTTCTAAAGCAGTCGACAGGGGTTTGTTCCAAGGCTTTGTCATTGGGAAATCGGAAAATTCTGCTAGGTTGTCTCACTTGCAGTTCGCCGATGACTTAATCATTTTTTGTCAAGCCTCCCTAACTCAGATCAAGAATGTGAAAAGAGTGTTGAGGATTTTTAGTATTATGGATGGTTTGCATTTAAATTTAGAGAAGAGTAAGCTGTTTGGAATTAATATGGAGCAGGATGTACTACAGATTGGGCAGTCCAAGTGGGTTGTTCAGTTGGTTCCTTTCCAACGGAATATTTGGGTCTTCCACTGGGTGCTAAGAAAAATTCAGAGGCTTTATGGGATCTTGTATTTAAGAACTTCAGTTCCAAACTTGCTGGGTGGAAAGCGTCTTATTTGTCTTTGGCTGGAAGGACAGTATTATTGAAGTCGATTTTAACTTCCTTACCAATTTTTTTCTTATCGCTATTTAAAATGCCTGGCAAAATTGGTAAGAAGTTAAATTCCTTATTAGCTAATTTTCTATGGGGGAGATAAGGAGGAAAAGAGGAAGATTCATTGGGTGAAATGGAGCACGGTTTGTAGGCCATTGAACAGTGGTGGTCTGGGTGTACTAGATTTGAACCTCACTAATCGGGATCTTCTAGGTAAGTGGGTGTGGAAATTTGCCAATGATAGAAATTCCCTATGGAAAGGTGTGTTGTGTAGCAAACACGAGGTAAGTTGCAATACAATGTCCATTAGGGAGGTTACTACTCCGCAATCTTCTTGGATTTGGAGAGGTATAGCAAATAGCTTTTTGAAGAATGATTCGGAAGGTGACTGTCTTAGATCAAATGCGAGGTTGCAAGTGGGAAATGGAACATCTATTTCTTTTTGGAATGATGTATGGGCAGATGATGTTCCACTAAAGATCTTGTTTCCTAGAATTTACGTGCTTTCCCCTATTAAAGGGGGGAAGGTTGTAGAGTTTGGTAGCGTGGAACTGAGTGGTTGGGTGTGGAATGTTGAAACAAGAAGGAATTTGTGCGATTGGGAGTTGAATCAGTGGATGGATTTGATGTCTAAGCTGAAGGATATTCAACTGTCAGAGTTGGTGGAAGATTTCCTATCTTGGTCTGCAAGTGGGGATGGACTGTTTTCGGTTAAATCGTGCAGAAATACTTTTGGTAATGTGTTTGGGGACAGTGTGCCGTGGTGTAAAGGGGTATGGCTGGGATTTGCTCCACCTAGAGTGGAAGCTTTCCTGTGGCAGCTTGCTCATCAGAAAGTGGCAGTTAAAACTGAGTTGGTTAAGAGAGTATTATCTCTAGGGGATGATATCCTATGTCCTTTTTGTAAGAAACAGGAGGAATCAGTGCAGCATTTATTCATTTCTTGTCAAGTTGTTTGGGAATTATGGAACAAAATAGTTAATTTCTGGGACTTATCATTCGTTATACCAAAAGACCCTCCTTCTCTTCTTTGTTCCTGGGTTGAGTTGAGGGAGAACTCGATGATTTGGAAGTTCATCCCGGGTGTCATTTTTTGGTCGATTTGGAAAGTTAGGAATGCAATGGTTTTTAATGGATCTTCTCTTGATAGGCTGTCTTTATTCTTCATTGTCAGATTCAGGCTGTCTAAATGGTTCCTAGCCAAGTTTCCTAAGATATCGATACAGGAGGATGTGCTGATTGGTAATCCATGTCTAGCAGATGGGTTTTCTCTATCAAAACGTAAAGACTGTCATGTCATAAGATGGATTCCTCCCCCAGTAGATTTTCTTAAGATGAATGTTGATGGAGCTGTTAGGAGTGATGGCTTGGGTGGTGGGATTGGAGGTATTTTAAGAGATTGGAATTGCTGCACCCTTTTGACTTTTTCAGAGAAAGTTGCTCAAGGAAATCCTCCACTTGTGGAGTTAAAGGCTATTAAAAGAGGCATTGATTTATTTTTATCATCACATTGGGAAGCAGTGGGTAGGTTGATTGTCGAGACTGATTGTAAATCGGCAGTAGAATGGATTCAGGCCCCGGGTTTAGCTCCTGTTTTCTTAATGTCTATAGTCTATCAGATTTCGACTCTTATCACTGGTAAGGTACATTCAGTGAGGTGGATCCCAAGAGCGTGCAATGGGGAGGCAGACAATTTAGCTAAGAGTGGGATAGGTTGATTGCAAGGAGTCAACCATGGTTTTCTAATCTACTGTGAAGGTTTTTATGGCAGGGGGTGTTTTTAAGTCTGATGTATTGTAAAGGCTTTTAAGCCAGGGGATGTTTTTAAGATTTATGTACTGTTATTGGTGTAATGGTTGTATCTTATGTAATTTTTCCATTATTAATAAAATTCAAGGCACACTTTTCCTCCTTTCGCTAATTAAGGAGCTTATTATCAAGCTCCTTAATCAAGAAGGGGGGGGGGGTTAACGAGGCCTTACATTCCTATAAAAAAAACAGTGCTCACCAACAAAACCTCATATCTTATTGCTTCCATCTTAGAATTCCACCAACCAATCTTCTTAATTCTATCAATGTTTTCCTCCTCAATCTTAGCATATTTACCAATCTAAAATCTTCTCTTTACAACATTAGCATTAACCTGCACCTACACTAAAATATGTCTTTTAGCTCATCACACAATCATGTATATCCACACAGCCATTACAAACATAATGTACTATGTAGTATGGATGGCACTATGATAGCAATATCTGTTGCAACAAAAATATACCGAAACTAATCAAATATAATGCATCAAGGACAAAAATGAATATTCGTCAAACCAAAAATACATCAAGAACAATGCACCAGTATTAAGCTGTGCAACCAAAATTTACTATCCAAACTCAAGAAAACAATCTAAGTGCAGGCTCTTAGATAAAAGATACCAAACCTGTAGACTGTATGAATACTTCTAAAATGCTGGTACAAGGTTTGTTAAGATGAGAATAAGAATAAAACCTGTAAATGTTTTCCGATAGCAACAAATGGTTGTACATCTCCTCGTGTTCCCACAATAAGCATTACTATTTGCAGTGGAGGTATATTTGGGATATCTATTGTGTCTGTATCCTCTTTCTCTGAAGCTTCGCTGTCAACGACGTAATCAAGTGTGTGTGGTTTAATATCAGTTGGGATATCAATACATTGAACGGTCCCATCATGTTTCACATTAGCAAGTTGACTCAACCACTTGATCTACATAAAAAATTTAAAGATACAGTTTAAATTTTCATTACCAGAGAAAAAATGGAAAAGTGGAAAAATGAAAAATGCAAATAAAATATAATAAATACAGGGGGAACCTCAAAAGGGAAATTCTGACTGAAATAGACATTTCAATAAGCCAAGATTATAATGAAAAAAAGGCCAAACAAATGAAGTTTTACATCAAATGTAAAAGAAATAACGAAATATGAAAGCTTGGAACTCAATTAGGACAAAATGTCCACCCATCTTTCTTGCAATGAAGCATTATATTCTTATTCGATTCTGAATAAGCATGAATCTAATTCTCTCGTATAAGCCGGTGTAGATGACCTTTTTTTTTTTATAGAAGTTAGAGGTCTCATTAAAAACCCCCTTCATAATTGATCCTTTCGAAGAGGTAAGGAACAACTAGAAGGAGGAGGAAAAGAGTACCTCATTTTATTGATATAAAATTCATACAACAATATGCCTTCGCATTACAATAGATAAGAATATCCCCTAAAAATGCCAAAAAACATCCTCAATAAAACTACCCAGTCAACCAACCCCTTCTTTAGCTAACTTATCAGCTTCCCAATTACAACCCCTCGGAATTAACTTAACTATCAACGCCCTAGACAATACAAAAAGCTCGATATCCTTAATAAGATTACTAAAATACACAGGTGCAGAAGATGGCGAGTGTATCCAATCAACAGCTGTTTGCAGTCAGTTTCCAGAATCAATCTCCCTTTATTAGACCTAACCCATTTCAGTCAACCTGAACTCGTCCAACTTTGAACTGGGTTCAAACGCAAAATTCGAACCCAAAATGAACAGAACTGACATGATCTAACCCAGTACAAACTTTGCAATAACTATGCTTCCATTCCCAATACATACACATTGATGCTGATAAATCAAGTAGTCACTTCACAAATTGAAAACGCACTTCTCAAATGTAATAGAATCATATCCTCGAATTCAAACTAGTTTAATTTAGAAGAAATGTGAAGTATAACCAAAGATTAATATCTCATACCTTCTTTCTAAATGGAACATTATCATCCAAAAATTTTGTTGCATATTTAGCTAGTTTGCTGTCTCTCAGTCTCCGAGATCGTGATAGCTGATTGGATCCTGAATCTATAGCAGTAGTTGATGCTTTAGCGTGCATGTTTTGTCCAGTAAAAGTCCTGTCAGTAAGGCCTGGTAGAGCCATTTTTTAGCAATAATGATAGCATACATGATTATCTTCATTGAAAAAAATCACATTCTAAGGCATTTACAAATAAGATTAACATGTTGATTAGTCAGAAATAGAGCAAGGGAGAAAATCCTTGAATGCAATTCCAGACACAAATATAAATAAATTTCAAACTCTTGAAAATAACACAAATTACATCTAATAGTATCTAGGGAACTTTCTTATACACATTCTGAGTAGGTAGCATTAAGTCATTGGATGGCACCAACTATAAATTCACACGGACAGGGAAATAAGGAGAACCAAGTTTAATTACGAAGCATGCATGGAATTACCAAGCACCAATTTTATGTTGGATTTTTTTCTGGATAATGTTAGTTCACCAGTTTGTTCTCGCAAAGAACTAAATTGGCCAATTGTATTTGTAACATCATCTACTCTTATATGTATCCTTATAAGTTCTATTACTAACAAAGGAGAAAAGCTATTTCATTTCAATAAATATCTATATTTCCCATCTCAAACACACACACACACAAAATACACTTTGCTCAGTAGTAATCAAATAATACATACACACACATACACGAGCAATAATCAAAATCAAACCTGAAGCTTCAGAATACTTCTCGTCTTCGCCTACAATTTCAATATCAGGAATATCAGTTGAACGACCTGAACAAACCAAAAATAATATCTCACAAATTCACACCCGTTTCAAAAAAAAAAAGTTTCGTTCAAACTCAATTGTTCTAATTTAATCCCTTAAATAAATCCATCAAACGTAAAAGAAATCTAAAATGAAGGAAACCTGAAGAATCAGTGGAATTGGAATCATCAATGGAGATATCGCGGGAATCGACGTTAGAGTTCGGAAAAGTGTCCTCCGGCACCCCCGCCATTTCGTGAAAAGAGAAAAAATAAAGAGTTTCAGGTAAACGCTAGAAGTAGAAGGATAAGAAGAATGTGGGAGGAAAGAGAGAGTTGGGCAGTGGTAGAAGAATCGGATTTTACTTTGAAGAAATTAATTCCAAATGTTTTCGGTTTCTTTCCTTTTTCTCTTTTTCTTTTTCGTTTAATGAGGAGAGTAAAGGGAGAGACGTTGGGAGGGAATAAAGCTAGCCGTACACGTGTAACAACTATCGCCGAAGATGTTTTACTTAAAAGAGCGCCAAACTGTAGGTTTCAGATTTGTTAACCAACCCCACAAGAAACTTTTTGTCAACATCGTCAATAGAAAAATTATTACTGTTTTCTTAAAATTATGGGTAAACTACATATATTATCATTGAACTTTTTTATCTCTCCTATTTTTATTACTGAGCTTAAAAACAATTAATTTACTCATTGAACTTTCTAATTATTCTTATTTTGGTCACTTCATCGTTAATTATTTAACGACGTTATAATATGGTGCAAGCATCAAAATGACGTTGTTTTAAAACATCAAATCTACACCAAAGCAATATCGTTTTGAATCTATATAAAATTCCTTTTCATTCTTCGTTTCTTCATTTTTTTTTGGCTTTTTCCTTCCTCTGGTTTTCTCTCTATTTACTCATAATCTGATTGATTTTCACTTCCTACCGTCGTTGAGAGTGATTGTTAAACCTCAATTTTTTTACTTACTCTTTTTCACCTCCTGAGTATGAAGTTTGGACAAATTCTCTAGTGAAACTTTTTATTTTAATTTTAACTGTTACGTTAGAATATCAGTCAAAATTATTATGACCCACATTAAAAACATTTTGTGTACTTAATAAATTTAAAATGAGTGCTCAAAGATTCTTCAAAAACAAAAATCATATTTGTTATATTGATTGATTAAAGGTATCCCATTAATTATCAAAATAGAATGCTCTGTCAAAACATTTGAAGTAGAATCTTTAATCAATGATTTCTTTGACCCGAACCCATACATTAGAAAGCCAAACCCACACCTGGAAAGAAGTCAAAGAACATAATAAGAAAGAAAAACATTTCTAAACTACCTTAGATCAAAAACCCATTATGGGTATAAACTTTTGTAACTATTTATCAGTGCTGCAATGTTGTTATATTAACAAAATATTAATAAGAGTCAACGTGATAACTCAAGAATGAATAAAGTTGACATCTTACCATAATGTTAGAAAGATAATAGAAAAATGATCAAAACAAAATCGATTTTCAAAGTAAATTGATTTTTTTAAAGAGATTAATAGGATAAAATACCATAATATATGAATTATGATAATTTATCTTATATATATATATATATGCATATGGTTAGAGGAAGTTTAAAGAATGGAAACAATCCTTATTATAATATATATAATTACAATTAAATTTGTAAAGAAATTTGAACAACTCGATTCAAATTTTATAAATTCGATTGGACTATAAAAAAGTTTCAAATTAAATTTGAATCGTAAAATATGACTCGTCAACTCAAATAACTTAAATTTTTTGACTCGATATCGGTTCCTTCCAGTAGCTCTTATCCGGGATAGGATTTATCATCTGGGAATAGGTCTCGCATTAGCTTGCCACTGTGAAACAAGGTTCGGCAAATATATGAGCATTCTGCCCGCAAGAAATAAGTGCACACGCAGCATGTGCACATGGTAAACCATAGAGCTTCCGACGACGACAACACACGACTCTGAATATCAACAATGTTTATCCGTTCGGTTGAGACGATCTCGAACTCAACTTCATTTGCTCGAAGTACTTGGTAGCAATGAGCATCAGCAATTTTATACAACTCGATCACAAACTCAATTATACAACAACTCGGTCACACCTAGAGTGAAGTGGCCATATCGCACTCCTTCAAAAAATGCGACTGCCCAGAGCTGGGGAGGGAAGACTTGAAACCATCGTATGACATCCTGTGAGATCTCTACCATTTCAGCAATTTTGCTCTCAAACTCAATGGCAGCGAGAGCATAAACAGCATTCCAGAAGATATTAACTAATTTTGTGTTCTTAAATGTATCCCGGAAGTTTTCATTGACATAACGTAGACAAAAACCATGAAAAGCATTCCACCGCATCTACTATACTTCTCCGTCTTTCAGATAGTATTGTAAGTCTAAGCATGTTTTCAATGTTTACACCAAGAAGCTTTCTCAACTCTGACACGAACCACATCCAATTTTCATCATTTTCCACATCGACAATAACAATTGCCAAGGGAAACAAAGCATCATCAGCATCAACTGCCTCAGCACAAAGTAACGAACCCAAGTACTTCCCTTTCAGATCAGCCTTATCAAGTTCCAGAAGTGGTCTACAAGCATTTATAAACCCGTAGATAGATGCACGGTAAGAGATAAAGAGACGCTGGGAACAATTTTCTTGTCGAGTGGCAAAAACTGATGCAACACTTCCCGGGTTGGTCTTCCTTATTTGCTCACAGTATGCAGGAAGAAGGTGATACCCTTCTTCAAAAGTCCCATAAACTGCAGCCATACTCCGTTCCTTTCCTCGCCAAGCTTGCATATAAGAAACAGCAACTCCATGCTGGTCACGAATATCTTGCAGGATATCTTTTGATTTGTACAGCGGGTTATCCCAAATGCGTGCTTCTACTGATCTTGCAACCCAACCCACCGATGCTTGCTGATGATGGAGGTTGCGAACCACTTCGCATGTATGCTCCCCTTGTAGAGTCCTAAGTGTGAAAGTTGGAACTCCAGGACATTTTGCTACATGGACACGCCACGGACAACCTTCTTTGGAACACTTGGCTATAAATCGGCTCCGATCAGATTTCACTATTCTAAGATCAAAATGCATTGCTGTAGCAATATCTTTCAAGGTTCTTCTGCAAGTTTCAACATTGGGAAATTCCTGGCCAATAGCTAATGAAGTTTCTACAATGGCATCAGAAGTATCAGGTACCACTAAAGCAAGATCAGCCATGAATACAAGAAATACAGGACACACACCAGCCTAACGTGATTCAAAAGGCTCTGTACATGGTATAAGCTAAATAGATGATCCTTCTGAGGAAAAGCTTCAAAAACAGCTGATGTATACTCTTATTTAGCAGCAGATAACACGGTAGAAGGCAAAAAGAGAGGAAATTAATTATATTTTCTGGGGGTCAGGGGGGTTTTGGGGAGGTAGCCTGAAAAAATTAGGCATCAAATATAAAATTTATACCAGTATAGTTAATCAACATAGAAACGGAAACAGTTTGCTTCTTGATAGAACAGCAACATTGCCAGCTTGATCCCTTTTCAAGCTGTCGGGACTCAAGCAACTGATTTATCACCAAAACACTCACCCGAGACAAAAAAGAAACGAATGAGACGTAGTTTCAAGATGAACAAATTATAACATTATCCTCCTCATTTACACTGTAAAGGGGTATGAATAATAGGAGTTTCAAGAACTCAAGGTATGTGAGCTCCACAAATATCTGTGTAACCTCATTATGACAGTTCAAAGAAAATATTGCATCTACTAGAAGGGGAGCAAAGGTGGGAAAAACAAGTACAAAATTGAAATTTGGAAAAGAAATTCAACCGATGTGCATTGATTCCTATGTTTATTAGACAATGATACCAATAGCAAATCATCAATAAGAACAACAAAGAACACTAGTTTAGCAATTCTAGAATTATTAGGGCATTGTGAAATTTCATAACTTAACAAAGGGAAATCCCTCTGATGGAGGGCCACCTTATCTTTATTAGGGATAAGATACTGCAGACTTTTCATATAAAGCATTAAAAGAAATTATCAAAAATATTTAATCAATTAAAACCATTCACTATTGCTTTTGACAAGGATATTTACAAATCTTTTACAGCCTGAAAGTTACTTAATAAACTGATAAAACTTCTGAAAAGTAAAAATAATAATAATTCTTTTAAAGCATTGTAACAAAAGTGAAAAAAATACATAACCATACTTGATATACAATTGCAGCCCTTTCGTTCAACCAAAAGATTGCCCTGGCTTCCTATTTTTAAGATCCCATTAGATAAAGCTGTTGCCAATGATCCTATACAAGTGACTATAACACAAACTAATGAGATCATTATTACAACACAAATCGATAATTTGAAAGCCTGAAAATCTGAAAGCCTAACCAAATACCAAACTCAACTAGCCTGAAAGCCTACACAATTGAAGCTGCCAACAACAGGAGTCCATGACCAAAATCTGAATACTCAAAGCACCTAAAATTGAAGCCAACATGGCTCACCTGATAGTCACTTCTTGTTGAAGGGGCTGAAAGCAGGCTAAATTCTAGGGAGAATAAAGAAATATTCAAGCTTAATGCTATTTAAACCAAAGAATTATGAAGCAATTAGAGGAAGATGATAGTAATAATAGAAAATAGGATACCAAAAAAAAAAAACCCTCAGCAATCATGTATGGAGCTAACGCAAAAAACGCAGTCCTTAAAATTTATTTAAAAGATCTTGAAGAAAACAACTTTACATGAAATTGGCAGATTATAAAGGGGGATATACAGAAACTAACTTCAGAAGAATCTGTCAAGACTTCAAATCCTAATCACAAATGTACAAGAACTTACTGAAAGAATGCATAAACTCAATAAAACATCATAAAAGGATCTAGTAACGCATTTCTATCAAACAAAGGACTATTTAGAGCAGAGAGAGGATTTGAAATTTACAAAACGTCCCTTTAACATAAGAAATTGATCAAGCCCTAATCAAGATGTAAGAGATGGCTTTTAATAGTAATAAAGTTTCAAGGATGAATATTGTTTGCCGTTAAAGCCAAAGACAGAGACGCCAAGAAATAGCACAATAAAACTCTCAACAAGCAGGAAATAAAGTTAAACAAATTACAGTAAAAGCAACCACCATAGCAACTAAAAGCTCTCAACTGAATGCCACAGTTTTTCTACAGAAAACAAATGAAAACAAAAAAACAAAAAATTGATACGCTGAATTAATTTGGGCCAAACTCTTTAAAATTCCGCGATGCCCACGAGAAAAATGTTCTTCTTACCGCCGGCTTTGTAA